CTGTCCCCCTTGGGCCAGGCAGCTCCTCTGTGCACCTGCTCAGCCCCCTCCTGTGCTGGCCAGGCATTTCCAGGGTGCGAGGCTCTCAGCCAGCCCTGTGGCTAATGAGAGGGGCCAGGAGAGGCCACAGTTCAAACCCCAGACAGAGAGACCAGACTGCAAGCAGCAACCCTGAAGTAGGCAGGAAAAGGTCAGGGGCCTGAAGTTCTGTTCTTTCTTCTTTCTTTTTTTTGTTTTTTGAGACAGAGTCTCACTCTGTCACCAGGCTGGAATATGGTGACACAATCTCTGCTTACTACAACCTCAGCATCCCAGGTTCAAGTGATTCTCCTGCCTCAGCCTCCCGAGTAGCTGGGACTATAGGCGTGTGCCACCACACCTGGCTAATTTTTGTATTTTTAGTAGAGACAGGATTTCACTATTTTGGCCAGGATGGTCTTGACCTCTTGACCTTGTGATCCACCCACCTCAGCCTCCCAAAGCGCCGGGATTACAGGCATGAGCCACCGCGCCTGGCCAGCCAAACTTCTGTCGCCCAGGCTAGAGTGCAATGGCATGATCTTGGCTCACCGCAAACTCCACCTCCCAGGTTCAAGCAATTCTCCTGCCTCAGCCACCCAAGTAGCTGGGATTACAGGAATGCAGCACCATTCCCAGCTAATTTTGTATTTTTAGTAGGGATGGGGTTTCTCCATGTTGGTCAGGCTGGTCTTGAAAATCCTGACCTTAGGTGATCCACCCACCTCAGCCTCCCAAAGTGCTAGGTTTACAGGCATGAGCCACCGCACCTGGGCCTCAAAGTTCTGTTCGTTCCAGGGAAGACTGTGTGGCATGGAAGAGGCTGACTGCCTGGCATGGAAAGTTAGGTGTGCCACAGTGCCTCACCCCTGCAGCATGGGGGTCGGGGTACATGATGGGGCAAGACTCAAACACAGGTGATGGGACGTCATATGTAAACCATGTTACAACCTTCATTACAGCTATGCTCTAGAGATGGATGGAAGGGTCTGGAACAGTGGCTACCTCTGAGGGGCAGGGTTCCAGGTGATTTAAACTCTAACTTTTGTTTTCTGCTTTGTAAATGTTCTGCAGTGAACAGCATCTACTGTGTCTTTTTTTTTTTCCTAGATTTTTATTTCCATTTCTGCCAGGAGCCGACCATGTTGATAAACACTGCAAAGTTTTCTAGGAAAGCTCCCAGCATCAGGCTGCAGTGGACTGTCATTGAGCATAACCCCCGACCCTTATCCAGCCCTCCTGGTGGGCCAGGCGTTTGCGGGGGACCAACTCAGTCGTTTGCTGGGACTTCCCTGCTTTAGCACTGAATGCCTTGTGTCCAAGGAATCCCCTCTGTCTCAGGGAAACCTTGTCACCCTGCAGGCACTGTGCCAGGCTCCCTCTGGGAGGTGGGTGTCCATGAGCTTGGTCTCTGTTGGAAATAGATGCTCGAAAAGAAAAAGTAGCACTGAGACAAAGAATCTTTTAGCAACACAACTTTTACTTCCTGAACTGCAGGAAGGATACCCTCACTAGCCACCATGCCACGAGAGTACAATGAACAAACGAGAGCAGACATGTGTATTCCTCACTACATTTGGGGTTGTTCTTACTGCCGTGTCTCATCTCTGTTGACCGAAACCAGACCTCACATTTTAAATTAAACCCCGATTGGCTGACAACTTAAAACTTTTCTAAACAGGTAAAAGCAGTGGAGAGCTGGGACATGCCTGTGAGCACGTCCAGCACAGATACCTTGGTTAAAGCACAAGGACATAGAATGTACTTTGTGTCTGTAAGCATGGCATGTCTAACGGCTACATAGGATAGGGCTTAACAAAGTTATTACCACACTTATGATTTATTATTTAACAAGAAAGGAAATTTTAAAAAGGAATTTTTCTACTTCCCACAGTCTCACAGGTGAGGAAAGTTAGGTGGCTTGCCCAAGGTCACACAGCTGGGAGGCTCCTGGGCAGGAACTGACACCCGGGTCTCTGGCTCTGACGCCTTTGAGCTTTGCCACTCTACTACACTGCGGCTGTTGTCTTCACTGTCCCTGAAGCAGGGCTTATAGGGGCTGTGACCTCACTGGGGTCAGCAAGGTCACCTGAGGTGGGGAGGCGCAGTGGGCAGGGCACAGGCTCCCTGCTGACTCTGCACCTGCCCTGGGGGTGGCCTGCTGATGCCACCCCCACCCCAGGTCAGAGGGTGTGAGCTCCAAGGGCCTTCCTAAGGGTGGGGACGGTTGACCCAGAAACCCCACATTGGCTGTCTGGGTGCCACGGCACTTTTTGGGAGGCAGAGGCGGGCAGATCCCTTGAGGTCAGGAGTTTGAGACCGGCCTGGCCAACATAGTGAAACCCCGTCTCTACTGAAAATACAAAAATTAGCCATGATGGCAGGTGCCTGTTTTCCGAGCTGCTCAGGAGGCTAAGCAGGAGAATCATTTGGACCCAGAAGGTGGAGTTTGCAGTGAGCCGAGGTTGTGCCTCAGCACTCCAGCCTGGGCAACAGAGCAAAACTCTGTCTCAAAAAAAAAAAAAATGCCGGGCACAGTGGCTCATGCCTGTAATTCCAGCACTTTGGGAGACTGAGCGGGGCGGATCATGAGGTCAGGAGTTCGAGACCAGCCTGACCAACACAGTGAAACCCCTGTCTCTATTAAAAATGCAAAAAAAAAAAAAAAAATTAGCCAGGCGTGGTGGCGTGTGCCTGTAGTCCCAGCTACTTGGGAGGCTGAGGCAGGAGAATTACTTGAACCCGGGAGGTGGAAGTTGCAGTGAGCCAAGATCTCGCCACTGCACTCCAGCCTAGGCAACAAGAGTGAAATTCCGTCTCAAAAAATAAATAAATAAATAAAAAGGAAAGCGCCCACCTCTCTGATTATGAGCCTCTGGTCAGTAACTCAGCTAAGTTTGAAGACTGCAGCTCTGTTTCTAGCCCCAGGGGGAAAACCTATGAACAAACAGGCGAGGCCCTTGCCTCCGTGAAGTGATGGCTTACACCGCAGACAGCAAGCCTTCCCCTCCCAACAGATTCCTCAGTGACTGTGGGGGACGAGCCTGAAGCAGAGAGGCCAGGTGTTGCGACGTCACCTTTCAGGGCCTGAGCTGTCTGGAAGGTCAGGGCAGGTCCCTGGGGTGGTGGGTTGGGAAAGAGTGGAACATTCCAGAAAGCAGGAGCAGCAGGTATGATGCTTCGAGCTTAAAGGGTTCATCTTGTCCTCTGTGAAGTGGGGACGCCACAGTTCGGTTGCTGGGAAAACAGTGGGGTTCCCCAAAGAGTCACACACAGTTACTGTCATTACCAACCAGCGACCCCAATCCTAAGGAGTTATCAAAAGAACTGAAACAGGCACTCAGCAAACACTGGCAGACGTGTGCATAGCAGCGTGAGTCACAGCAGCTGCAAGGTGCAAACAGCTCGATAGCCATCAACAGATGAATGGATAAACAAAAGAGTGTCTGGCACAGTGGCTCACGCCTGGAATCCCAGCACTGTGGGAGGCTGAGGTGGGAGGATAGCCTGAAGTCAGGAGTTTGAGACCATCTTGGGCAGCAAAGTGGGACCCCCATCTGTACACACAAAAAATATTTTTTAATTAGCTGGGCAGGGTGACACACCTGTAGTCTCAGTGACTCAGGAAGCTGAAGCAGGAGGATCTCTTGAGCCCAGGAATTCAAGGTTACAGTGAGTTATGATTACACCACTACACTCCAGTTTGGGCAACAGAAAGAAACACCATTTCTGTCTCTCTTTTTTTTTTTTTTTTTTTTTAAGACAGGGTCTCACTCTGTCACCTCAGCCTCCTGAATAGCTGCACCACCACACTCAGCTAATTTGGCGTATTTTTTTGTAGAGATGGGGTTTCGCCGTGTTGCCCAGGCTGGTCTCAAACTCTTGGACTTAAGCAATCCTCCAACCTTAGCCTCCTGAGTAGCTGGAACTACGGGCATGTGCTATCACACATGGCTGATTTTTGTAATTGTATAGACAGGGTTTTGCCATGTTGCCCAGGCTAGTCTTGGACTACTGGGCTCAAGCAATATGCTCACCTCAGCCTCCCAAAGTGCTGAGATTACAAGTATGAGCCAGACACATCCATCTCATTTAAAAAAAAAAAAAAAGGAGGTTGGACACAGTGGCTCATGCCTATAATTCCAGCACTCTGGGAGGCCGAGGCAGGAGGATCACCTTAGGTCAGGAGTTCAAGACTAGCTTGGCCAACATGGTGAAACTCTGTTTCTACTAAAAATACAAAAATTTGACAGGCCCCTGTAATCCCAGCTACTCAGGAGGCTGAGGCATGAGAATTGCTTGAACCAGGAGGTGGAGTTTGCAGTGAGCTGGGCTCACACCACTGCACTCTAGCCTGGGTGATTCTGTCTCAAAAAAAAAGGAAAGATGAGATAGTTGTCTGTCCATACAATGGAATATTATTCAGCCATGAAAAGGAATGAAGTACTGCCACGTGCTGCCACGTGGGCAAACCTTGTTAATATTATGCTAAGGACAGGAAGGCAGACACAAAAGGTCACATATTGTCTGATTCCATTTATAAGTTTCTAGAGGAGGCAAATCCCACAAAACAGAAAGAAAGGAAAGAGGGAGGGAGGGAGGGAGGGAGGGAGGGAGAGAGAGAAAAAGAGAGAGAGCGAGTAAAAGAAAATGCATATTATATCAAGGCGTGAGAAAAGCTGTATGAAAAAATTAAGCAAGTTGAGGGAAGAGAGCGTGGTCGGGGCTTTTACAAACAGTGTGGTCAGGGAAGTCTTCTCTGCCAAAGAAAGAGGCTTAGGAAAGCGCAGGGTGTGCCAGGCAGTAGGGGACAGCAAGGGCAAAGGCCTGAGGTGGGACCATGCCTGGGGTGGGGGCGGTCAGTGTGGCTGAATGGCCTGATTGAGGGGTAGGAAGGGGAGACGAGGTTGGGGGGGCATGGGGGGGGCCTGGGCCTGGCTGGTGGCCCTGATGGCCCCGGGCCCTCTGTCTCCTGCCCACAGCCCTGCTCCTGGACATCATGACGGTGGCCGGCGTGCAGAAGCTCATCAAGCGGCGAGGCCCGTACGAGACCAGCCCCAGCCTCCTGGACTACCTCACCATGGACGTCTACGCCTTCCCGGCCGGGCACGCCAGCCGCGCCGCCATGGTGTCCAAGTTCTTCCTTAGCCACCTGGTGCTGGCAGTGCCCCTGCGCGTGCTGCTGGTGCTCTGGGCCTTCTGCGTGGGCCTGTCCCGCGTGATGATCGGCCGCCACCACGTCACGGACGTCCTCTCCGGCTTTGTCATTGGCTACCTCCAGTTCCGCCTGGTGGAGCTGGTCTGGATGCCCTCCAGCACCTGCCAGATGCTCATCTCTGCCTGGTGAAGCGCCCACCGGCCCACACAAGGCTCTGGGGGCAGGGCTGGCCCTAAAGAAGGGGCAGTGGGTGGCGAGGCAGCGGGCACAGGCGGAACAGAGCAGCCACCCCCATGTCGTCCTCCCCTCCTGGTTGGAGGCCGGTGACCCCAGGCCGCCCCTCCTGGTGATGAGCGTGTTCGGCAGTGCTGGGCCTCTTGCCCCTCTACTTGGACTCTGGGTCTTTCTAGGCAGCTGGGACCCACCCGTGGGGACAGCCCTATTTAGCTTCTGCTCTGGGGACAGCGAAAACCAGGATGGTGGGAGGGGGCCAAGTCTTGTCTTGTCCTTTCATCGTCATGACTGTTGAGTTCTTGGCTGTGCCCATCATGCCACAGCTTGACGCCTGTCAAAATGCCCCCACCTACAGCCTGATGCAGGCGCCATAGCCATTAACGGTCATCGACGGCTTAGGGCAGCACTTTCCAAAGGGTGCCCCGTGGGACACCAGCCTGAGAGATGCTTTTGGGGAAAAGGGATTTTGTGGTTCAATGACTTTGGGAAGTGCTTCTTGCTAAACCTTGTTGAACCCATGTTTCCTAAATTTATTTGACCACAAGAACTCTCTTCTTGGGGAACAGCTATTAACCCCCGAGGAACCACTGGTTCCTCCAGCGCATTTGGGAGCTGCTGCCAGACAGCTGCAGGGCCTGGGGTGTAAGCTGACTCTTAGCCAGGGAGACCCGGTGCACATGCCACAGCCCGGGGAAAGCACTGGCCACCGCCCGTGGGCATCAATGAGGCTTTGGCCCCCAGGGGCCGGACTCCGTGTGACCTAATAGGTCGTTTCCAAGTCACCCGTTATGGATGTGCATTTCATGTGACAATACAGATGACATGCAAATGGCCCTCTCTCGTGTGGATTTTTCCTTGTGCAATTCAATTGCTCCGGACGCACTGGCCTTGCTAACATGGGACTGGGTGGAGGGGTGGGGTAATTCTTCATCGTGGTGCCAGGGGTAGGGGTCTCTGAGCACGGCTGGCCTGCTCCTGGACTTTATCAGGCTGGCTGGTCCCTTCGCCCTGGAGTGGCCACCTGGTGCTTCCCCAGCCCCCAGGTCCTATGCTGGCTGTTCCCTGGGACCTAGGCAGGGACCATTTGAGAAGCCCTCGCTGTGATGCTGATGGACCAGAGACCTTCTTTCACTTCAACCTCAGGCCTTCCCAAAGCCCTGCCGTCCCGACTCCTGGCTAACCTGATCCCCATCCCCCAGGAAGTGGGCAAGTGACCAGACAAACACAGCCAAGCTACAAGAGCTGCCAGAAGGGAGGTGCAGGACAGTGAGGGCTCAGAGCAAAGGCCTGGAGCCCAGCCTGGGGGGTCAGGGCAGGGGTCCCAGAAAGGGAAGTCTGAGGGGTAGAGGGAGCCAGGAAGGAGGGAAGGAATGTTCTTTGGAGGAAAGGGGAGAGGGCAAGAGCCCCCGGGTCCTATCACAGATCGGCAGGAGGTTCAGGGGACACCCCCAGCCCCCCGAGCCACACTTGGAGTGTGAGCGCTGGTCAGCGGCTCTCAACAGCCTTCTGATGTGGGGTGATCGACATGCCCATTCTATATATGGAAAATCGAGGCCCTGAGACTTGCCCAACCAGAAGGCAGCACAGGGTGGGGGGGAGCCAGTCTGTCTGGCGGTGGCCAGCTGCCCTCAGCATTCCTTGGCTCTCTGCTTCTGTTCCCACATGGCCTTCTCCCTGTGTCCATGTCTGACTTCCTGCCACTGCCTGCGGTTCCCTTCCTATAAGAATAACAGTCATACTGGCTTAGGGTCCATCCTACTCCAGCAGAACTTCATCTTAACTGACTTCTTTTTTTCTCTTTTTGAGATGGAGTTTTGCTCTTGTTGCCCAGGCTGGAGTGCAATGGAGCAATCTCGGCTCACCGCAACCTCCGCCTCCTGTGTTCAGGCAATTCTCCTGCCTCAGTCTCCTAAGTAGCTGGGATTACAGGCATGCACCATCATACCTGGCTAATTTTTTTGTATTTTTTAGTAGAGATGGGGTTTCACCATGTTGTCCAGGCCGGTCTCGAACTCCTGACCTCAGGTGATTCACCTGCCTCAGCCTCCCACAGTGCTGGGATTACAGGCGTGAGCCACCACGCCCAGCCCCCACATCTTAATCACATCGACAAAGACCCTATTTCCAAGAAGGTCCCATCCACAGCCACTGGGAATTAAAGCTTCAGCATATGTTGTTGGGAGGACCCAATTCAGTCCATAACCCCTAGGACACTGTTGGGGAAAACAATGTCTTCCCGTCCTAGCTGACCTCACCGGGACAGGGCAGGGATACAGCTGCACTGCCGTCGGTCGGAGAGGCAGGCTGCCACAGAGGGACCTGCCGGCCATGACAACAGGTGGGTGGGTCTCCCAGGCCCAGCCTACAGGTCTACAGGCCCTACCCCTGCTGCAGAGAATTCACATCCTCGATGGTGGTAGTCCAGCCAGAATGCCCCTTCAGACAGGATCTAAGACCCTGCCCACCCTCCCAAGGCCCCCTGCTTCTGTCTGAAGCCTCCTTCACATCCAGCCTTGCTGTGGATTCAGGGGATCTGTAACTGCTCGTTGCCCTGAGGGAACTCAGGAGCACTGGGTCCAGCTGGGCTACCTCAGTGAAAACCCCCAGCGTCTAATCTTGGCCAGGCTTGGTGGCCCATGCCCTGTAATCCCAGCACTTTGGGAGGTCACGGCGGGCAGATTACTTCAGGTCAGGCGTTCAAGAGCAGCCAGGCCAACATGGTAAAGCCCGTCTCTACTAAGAATACAAAAAATTAGCCAGGTGCGATGGCACATGCCTGTAGTCCCAGCTACGTGGGAGGCTGAGGCAGGAGAATCACTTGGGTGACAGAGTAAGACTCTGTCTCAGGGAAAACAAAGAAACAAACAATAACAAAAAAACCCCAGCATCCAATCTTGAACCGTGGTGGGTTAAAGTAGCTTCTGCCCATTCCCACAGTGCTGATGGCGGTGCCTTTCCAAGGAGCAGAAGGGTAAGGGTGTCTTCCTTCTCCCTTCAGCCCTGCCCTCCAGAATCCATCATCCATGGCAGATGCAGCTCCAGGTGTGGGCTGGGGACAGCTTCTGCCATCCAGAGCCCGTATCCCCAGCAGGGACACAGATCCCCAAGGTTTCTGGTTCTGCAGGAGGTGGCTGGGAGGTCTCTGGAGTCTTTAGGATGAGGAGGGCTTCTGAAGGATGGAGGGCTCTGGGAAAATCCTCTAAAGCTTGGAAGGGACAGTGGAGCCCCAAGAGCACCTGGCACACCGTGAACAGGAGAGGCTCCTGGAATGCAGTCAGCGCACTGCCTGGGAGCCACGTTCTGGGTGATGGCAGCGGCAGCCAGCACTGCCAGCACTTCCTGGTGGAGCTGACATCCTGTTTGGTGTTCTTGTCAAACAGAGATGACAGGGGCCCCTTGGGGTTGATGTGTGACTTGTGGTGCCCTCCACCTGAGAACCTGACACAGCACGGGTGATGCTCAGTGTGGGTTGAAGGGCTCCTGGCATTGTTGCCCCTGGCAAGGAAGAAACTGGGATAGGAGGTGCCGACATGGCTGTGAGCACAGCCCAGACAAGGGCTCTGACTCCTCCGAGGCCTTGACTGGACTTGATGACTCTCAGACGCCAGCGTGTCTCCAGAATCATCACTCTGCCTCAGCCTCCCAAGTAGCTGGAACTACAGGCGTGCTCCACCATGGCTGGCTAATTTTTATGTTTTTAATAGAGACAGGGTTTCACCATGTTGACCAGGCTGGTCTCAAACTCCTGACCTTAGGTGATCCACCCACCTTGGCCTCCCAAAGTTCTGGGAGCCACATCCTGTGTGATGGCAGCAGCAGCCACTGCTGGCTCTGCCAGCCCCTTTCCATGAAGATCCAAGGGCCATGGGAGGAGCTGCCACCCTCAGATCCCGGATGACCCCTCTGAGGACACCTGTGAGAGCAGAGCCAGAGAGAACAGGGAGAAGGCTGTGACTCCTTGAGGACTGCCATCCTGCCCTGTTGCTGGACAGAGCCTGGGTGGGGAGGTCAACTCGGCTGTGTGTTGGTTGACAGCTTCCAGTGCCCATTATGGAACAAGATAGATGGTGTGTACTACACAGGCATGGGTAAAGCGCTCTGCTGAGTAAAGCCAATAACTGCTCCCTTTTTTATTTAAGAGTTGGGATCAGGCCGGGTGAGATGGCTCATGCCTGAAATCCCAGCACTTTGGAAGCCCAAGGCGGGCGGATCACGAGGTCAGGAGATCAAGATCATCCTGGACAACATGGTGAAACCCCGTGTCTACTAAAATCACAAAAATTAGCTGAGCACAGCGGCACATGCCTGTAATCCCAGTTATTCGAGAGGCTGAAGCAAAAGAATCACTTGAACCTAGGAGTCGGAGGTTGCAATGAGCCAAGATTGCGCCACTGCATTCCAGCCTGGTGACAGAGCAAGATTCTGTCTCAAAAGAAAAATATCTGGGGTCTCTTGGCCGGACACAGTGGCTCATTCGTATAATCCCAGCACTTTGGAAGGCTGAGGCAGGTGGATCACCAAAGGTCGGGAGTTTGAGACCAGTCTGGCCACCACAGTGAAACCCCATCTCTACTCAAAATATAAAAATTAGCTGGGCATGGTGGCACGCACTTGTAGTCCCAGCTACTCTGGAGGCTGAGGCAGGAGAATCACTTGAACTTGCAGTGAGCTGAGATCAAGCCACAGCACTCCAGCCTGGGTGACAGAGTGAGACTCCACCTCAAAAAAAAAAAAAGAGTTGGGGTTTTGCTGCCACCCAGGCTGCCGTGCAGAGGCAGGATCACACCTCACTGCACCCTCAAACTCCTGAGCTCAAAAGAACCTCCCACCTCCCAAGTAGCTGGGACTACAGGCACGCACCACCACAGAGGCTAATATTTTTATTTTATTTTATATTTATTGAGATTGAGCCTCACTCTGTTGCCCAGGCTGGAGTGCAGTGGTGTGATCGGCTCACTCCAACCACCACCACCCGGGTTCAAGCGATTCTCCTGCCTCAGCTTCCCAAGCAGATGGGACTACAAGCATGCGCCACCACCCCTGGCTATTGTTATTTTTTATTTTTTTATTTTTAGTAGAAATGGGGTTTTGCCATGTTGGCCAGACTGGTCTTGAACTCCTGACCTTAGGTGATCCACCAACCTCAGCCTCCCAAACTGCTGGAATTACAGGCATGAGCCACCACACCCAGCCTATTTTTATTTTTGTAGAGATGGGGTCTCATTATGTTGCCCAAGCTGGTCTCCTGGCCTCAAGTAATCCTCCTGCTTTGGCCTCCCAAAGTGCCAGGACTGCAGACATGAGCCACCACGCCTGGTGATTGACATGCCCGTTCTATTTTTTTATGCTGAATTATAAATGGTTTTTGAATGGCAGCCGCTTCTGCATACCTGAGACACACCCTGCCTGGCCCTGGTGCATTAACCTTCTAAACATGGCTGGGTTGGACGGGACAGATTGTGTTCCAGATTCTGGCATCGGTGTCCATGAGGCATGCTGGTGTCTGCTTCTTGATTTGGTTACGGGGCCATGCTGGCCTCTTCTACACTCTGAAAGAGTCTGTGCGGAATTGGTTTCATTTCCTTCTCCAGCCCTCAGACCCCAGCTCTCTGCTCTGTCTCTCATTCCCAGCCTCTTGGAGAGCACCCTCTTCTTAGAGCTGACAGTTTCTCGGCCATGATTTGAGGAGGGGAGTGAAGAGTGGGGCTCACGCCTCCCACGGGCCTGGCTTGCGCTACATCTTCCATATGCGTCATTGTGATGACTTTATCCCTATTTTACAGATGAGGAAACTGAGGCTCAGAGAGGGAAACTCATTTCCCTAAGATGGCCC